TATCGAAAGCATCTCGTCTTTCGCGCTCTTCCTTTTTATAAGATACAAAAACTTACAGTTGAAGTTGTAGTGCATGTTGTGCAAGTTAAAGTTAAATTATCTAAAAATCACGAGTTGAGACGAAAAATTGATTATACGTTAAAAGTTACGGTTGAGAAACACAACATACACGCGGAGATGAAAGATGCCGACAACCAGTGGAATTCTCAGAAAAAAAAGGGTGGAATGTTCTCGAAATAAAGGGGCTCTTCAAGGAGCTGGTAAGGAATTTTAGGGGGAGAAAGTCCAAATTGCGCTACCGCTTAAGGGGCTAAAGAAAGATGATGAAATAAAAAAATGTATTACAAAATTATAAATTAAGTCAAAAGAATTAGTATTATTGATTAAAAAAACAGGATATTTATAAATTAGGCTGTGACCTAATGTCACACTATCAATTCAATTAATGTTATTATAATGCTTTTTTAAATTTATTGTTGTGTTTTTGTCGAAGAAAATAGTAACTTTGTTAAGTCATCAGTGTTTTCATTGCAGAAAAAAAATGGAAGAGAATTTCTCACCCTTTCTCAAAAACAGGGTGAGATTTCAAAAGTTAAGTGAGATTTCTGAAAATTAAGAAAACACGAATAGACTTGGAAAAAAAATATTTCTTTAATTATAATACATTTTTAACATCTAATTTTTAAAGCATTGAATATTTCTGCTGCATCATCATATGGAAAATGTTCTATATCTACTCTTTCATCAGCTATTCTCATTAGGTTGCTCAAATGCTTATCAGTCAATCTGTTACGATATTTTGTCCTAATTCGATTTTGAGTGATAAATGACCTTGCAAAAGATGCTGAACTATTCGGAATCACTAAGTAAATTTGTAGCATTGTGCACACACTTTCCTATCCTCTACATCTGCCAGCATAAGCTTTTCAATTATTTCTGCTATAGATTAGTGAAGTTTGTTGAAGTTATTTCCATGTTCTATTTTTTTTTCTGTAATGAAACCACTGAGTGCCGTAACTTTTTGCGTTAATCATTTTTTAATGCGAGGAAAGAAAAAAATATGCGAGATTCTCATGTTCTCGCATTGTAGTGATAACACTGGTCATGAAAAATTCTTGGAATTAGTCATGAAAAATCATGAATTTGAAAATCTGCATTGTAGCAGATACCCTGAGTCTATTTTTGACTTGAACTTTAATAAAATATTTGCTGAATCTTCGGAAAATATTATTACTAAGTAAATATTTGTTTCAATATTATTTTTTTTATGTTTAATTAGACTTAAAGACATTATGTTTAAAATTGCATTTCATATTTTAACAACAGTTTAACACATATTTATCTTCAGGTAAATTAATTTCAAACTAAGATTACACTTTTTTTAAATTATCCTGCTTTGTTTTTAAGTTACTACTCAAATTGTTTTAAGTGAAGTCCTGTGCTTTTTGAAAGGGTCACAACATACTTTTTTGTAAAAATTTATATATTTTCAAAAACAAACTTTGATGATGAAGACAAACACTTATAAAATTATTGACTGATTCTATTCTCCATTTTAATAAAGTTAAATTAGTTTCAGCTAAGTTTTTTCTGGTCTGTGTAGCTTTTTTCGTGGCATAACTCAACAAATGACAATCAATCTTAGTAACTTCTCCCACACTGCACTTCTGCATTTTTCTAGGTTTCAAAAAGTTCTTATTGATAATTAATGATATTGATAAAAATTAGAAGCAGGGCCCCCTGTTTTTTCCACATATATTCGTAGAATTCAAGACCACTGGTTATCGGACTTCTGTTGGTTAAAAATTTATTTTCAAAGAAATTTTAAAACTTTTACTAAATTCTGTTTACGAAGCCTTTACATACACTTGATTCTTCCTCCAATTCATTGAGCAGAGTCTTTGGTTGCTCCAGAATCTGCTATTATCTCGATTCTCATTCGCACAATTTTAATATCAAACATATACTTTTGTATTTATATGTGATTTACAACTTACACATTGGGATTCGTATTCACATGATCTAAAAATCATGCAGCATGATTCATATTTACACTATTTAAAATTTCAGTATCCCAATTTGCATTCTTGAAATCCAAATATTGCATTTCTTGTAAGAAGTACATTTTTTCTTGAATTAGTTAGTATAAAGGTATGATATTCTTTATTAGTAGGTAATTTAATTATAAATGCTAGTTCAAAATATTATGTTAAATATGAAACATGATTGGCTTATAAATTGATATCTTGGTATCGATTTTTTGCATGTAAAATTTTTAGAGTTTTTCACTTAGTGTCACAATCATCCCTGCAATTATTAATGAATGTTATATTTTTGAACCTATTTTATCTACCATATTTATAATTTCTAATATGTTTATATTAAATCTAAATAATTTCTTAACATGCAAAATGTTTATGAAATTTTACTTTAATTTGAAGCTTAATCCATCTTTTTTATTTAAAAAAAAGATTATTTCTTTCCCTTTTGAAGATATTCCACGTGGCATGAAATCCAATCTTTAATTAAAAGAAGTTCATAGCTAACATTTTGTAATTTTTTTTTTAATTTATAAATATTTATATTTTTAATTATATTTTTACTAGATTGTTTTTGTATTTAAGTATGTTAAGGAAATTTCATCAAAATTGCTTGATAAACAAAAAAGTTATAATTTATTTTCTACAAAATGACAAACTGTATTTTAATGGTGCATTTAACAGAAATTTTAAAATTCCTGAAACCTTAATCGCCAGTTAAACTATAACTTGGGGATAAAATCAAACAATTTATATCCTTATTTGGGTGCTCAAAAATACCATCCATGCAAAGTTTAATGAAAATCTGAGATAATGAGTGTCGTTTCCTGGTTGAATTCATATGAATTTACCCTACTTTGTTTGCCTCAATTTTAACTTGTGTATTTAATATTCGAAAATAATTCATTTGTCTGTTTTATTTTCAGAGTTGCATTTCCAGAAATTTTGACAGTAAATGAATTTATTAAAGTAGAAAATAAAGTAAGTATATTTGATTTTTGTTTAATTTATTTATTTTAAAGTGAACTAACTGCAATAAATTGTAGCTTTACTTTCTAAAGATAAACGTATACAATTATTATCAAATATATTGAAATTTATCAGTTTCATAGATACTTTTTATTTTATTTTAAATAATGAAATTTATTCTCTTAGTTTTTTTTTTGTTTTGTTAATATCTTGCATTAGATATAAGACTACAAAATTAAAATTACATTAATGTCTTTGTAGGAAGCCTCAGATGATGGTGATACCACAGATAGTGGTTCCGTCTTAGATGATGAGAATGCTGGTTTTCCAAACAGACACACAATGTCTCCAGAGACGTTAAGTGACAATGAGCTACAGGATGATGATGAAGGGATTGATGTCGGACCTTCTATAGAAAACTCTCATGAAGTCTGCATTAATGAAAAGAATTTAAAGAAGTCCATGGAAAAGGTATGTCTCCTTCAGACAGAATAAATTCCATGTTGACTTATGCATATAAATCTGAACATATTTAAGGAGACAGATGAGGGAAATCTTTCACCATGGTAGGAGGTTTTTTTCTTTCACCTAATGAAGTAATCATGAAGTTAAAGAGAAGTGAATTCTAGAAAACCTAGACTAAATTAAGTTTCAATTCAAATGATGAAGAAATGTTTTCAAAATATCAAAATGTGAACAAAGTACGCGGGTGCCACTTCTCAGTTTTGAGGACTGAAATCTGTGTGAAGAAAAAGCCAGTGAGCTGAATTCCATACTACAATTAATCTCTTTCCAAGAACTGTCGGGGCTCTGGGGATAATGTATTTGCCATCTGATGAGCTGAACCGCGGTGGCTGGTCGATATGAATTTGGCACCTGGTTTGCACCGAACACAGTGCAGGTGTGAAATATCCTCAGTTGTACACAGAATCATGAGTTAGAATCCTTTTGCTGTTAGGTTAACAGTAGGAGGTTTTTCTCTCCATGTAACGCAAATACGGGTTAGTTCAATCAAAAAAAGTTCTCTGCGAAAACGGCACATTTAATACTTGATTAAGGAGTTCCATTGTCTTCTAGATTGGTTTCAAAATTACAAGGCTACATAGTTGAACCTCAGTAGTTGTGAACCCAAAAATTTTGTCAGTTGGATATAAAAAAATCTTTAAAATAACTTCTTATCGAAAACATTCTTTTTTTATTATTCTTGCAAAATAATCTAATAATGATGACACACCACTATAAGAATTGGAATAATAAAAATTCAATGTCTTAAGTGTTGAATCTGCTTGAGTTTTTTCCCCCTGATTTTTAGAAATTCTGAGAGAATCAAAACTTTCAAATTGAAATTTTTTTAAGAAAAATACATTTTGTAGAGCTAGGACAAAAAAATTGATGATGAAATATCAAATATCTACAGATGAGTGTCCATGTTCATGAAAATGGCTCAAAGAAAAAGTTGGTAGTTTATTTTTCAGCAAATGGTGAAAAAAAGACTTATGTTTTTTTTCGTTTGCTGTAAAAAAATTAGAGGAAAAATAAACAAGTCATTGATGTAATATGTGGGCCATTCTCAAAGAAAGATGATTTTTGCAGTCATTAAGCAATACATACCTGCAAGGTCTCGTGTTATTTAACAAGGAATCCAGTATTTTACGACTATCTCCTGTTTACCCGTATATTCTCAAATTTCTCCGAATTTGTTGAAGAAATTAATTTAGGAAAAATAGATTTTTGGTAATAAAATATCTGCTGATGGCAAAAATACTTATCTTATTCCTCAACAGATAGTGCTTTTGCCAGTACTGCAGTATGTTGAGTGTTAATAGTTTAAGTAGAGTGGTGATGTCTCAGGAGATAGAGTGTTCGCCTTCCAATGAGATGAACTGGGTTTGAATCCCAGTGATGGTTGCTCGATGCGAATTCCGCATTTGGCTTGCATCGACCACTGTGCTGGCATAAAATATCCTCAATGGTAGATGGTTCTGCAAATACGGGTTTGTTCCATCATAAATTCCTCCAAAGGCAAATTTCTACCAATATTTGATCCAGGAGTCTTCTGAATTGGGTTCAAAATTACAAGGCTACCGAGTTGAACATTGGTAGTAATAAACCCCAAGTTGGGTCGGCTGATTTTTAAATAAAATAGTTTAAGTAATTATAAATAATGGTTTAAAAATCTTCTTTAGATTGAGATCTATAAACATATTTTTTACTTTGCTAAATGTAAGGACTTATGTTATTCTCAGCTATGAATTTCTCTTTTTGACTTACATGATTATACATGATGTATCAAAACTGTACTTGTAGCCAAAAAAATGTCACTAGTAAAATCTCCGTTATTCTATTTCTCCAATGTTGGCAGGTATGGCAATATATTTCTGAAAATTCTGTTAAACAATGGTAGACTGTGTTAATTAGAAAAAATAATAAGTTCAGCCTTGAAATTTTTTTGGAGTGGCACCCATGAATGTATTACTTCCTGACTAAGTATTTGTACTAATCCTAAGTATTTGTACTACAGTTGGTTTCATTTTTATGCTTGTAGCATTTTCTCTGCAAACAAAATAGCACATGTTAAAAATAAAATTAATATAAAAAGTCAACTAATGATGTACGTAATTTTGAGTACCAAACAAAAATTTTTTAAATACTGGTAATAAAATCTTAGAAGGACAAATGTTGAAAAAACTTTTCATACATTCAATAATAAATTTAGCTTCGTTGAAGATTATATTGAGAAAAAAATTTCTGAATGAGACAGAAGAAATTTTCCATCTGATAGACATTTTACTCTTGTGGTTCCAAATATTTTTCAGCTTTTGTGTTTGACAACTTTTCTTATAATTGAATATATAAAACTAATCTATGGTTTATATTTATTTACTGACACATTTTCTGTTAATTGCAAATATCATCAAATTTACTTAAAAAGACAGTGGTTTCTTTTTTGGGGAGAGGCTTGTTTTCTCTCTCTCTCTTTTTTTTTTTTGCATTTGACACTCAATAAAACAACCCTCAAGCATCTGTTTAAAACAGTGACTTGATAACATGTGGGCATAGTATCGTGAATGCACAAAAATACCATTTACTATATTAATTAAATGCTAAAAAGAATACTTGACCAATTTTGACAGAGGATTGCTTTACTACAGTAGAGAACCGATTATCCGGAACGATAGGGACCATCGCTATTCCGGATAACTGATTTTTCCGGTTTTCTGAATCGCTACAAAAAGCCGTTTTTTTATCGTTAAACCCAACTAAAAAAATATATATATATTTGGAAATTATCTTAAAAAGAAGAAAAAACGATGAAGTAATACACTAATGATTATTTCTAAACTGATGGTAAGGTAAAGATCTTTCAAAAAAGAAAGAAAAATCCTAAAATCTTATGAAGAAAAAAACATCTTTTTAAAAAAATCGCGGGAAAATTTATCGAATTTCGTTCCGGTTTTTTGGTTTTCCGGTTTTCTGATTTCCGGATAACGGGTTTTGTACTGTATAATAAATATTTGGTAACTAAATAGAAAAATTGGCAACTTTTTTCAATAATTATACATGCACCCTTAAAAATCACACTCCATTTGTGAAAAATGCTTAATTAATATGTTGATATAGGCTGCCGTTTCTAGTAAATATGTCAAGTATATTACGAAGAGAGCATGTTTTAACTGAAATAAATCACACAAGGAGACTAACATTTCACGAAAAGAGTGAACACAATTTTGAAACAAGAAAAGTTTGATTAATAAATTTATTGTATGCATTGAAAATAAATTTACGCAGATTATGAATAAAGTACAAACACCTCAGACTTAGGATAAGAATTTTGAGGATCTTGTCAATCTTTCTTCATTCAAAACAGATTCAAGAGTTTTTTTCCCCTCCATCAATTGTGTTTAATAATTACTTTCAGAAAGCAATTATTATTACAATGCATTTCATTGCATTGCATATAGCAATGAATTGCTTAGTGTGGACATTTTAATAGACTTAAAAACAATGTCTCTGAAATAGGTGACTTCATATGGCAGAATTTTTTCATTCTTTCTACGACATGCCTCTCTAATACTAGTGTCATTCTGCAAGATACTTTTCAACTTAACTTTTTTGGTTAAAATAGCGTAACATAACTTTTTAATCAAATATGTAATATTTTTTTTATAATATTAATATTATGGCCAATATTCTGTCATTTTGTAGGGGGAAACATACAAATAATTTCGCATTTTGAAAATCTTCATTAAATCAATCAATCGTTAAAAAAAGTAATTAAAAAATCAAGAAATCTGTAGCAATATCTATCGAAAAAAAGACTGATGGCGAAATCGCGTTGATTGGACTTTCCGAAAAGGGGTTACTGAATGTGTGTTTTCATTTCGAGATTCAGTTGTTGAAATAAATATCAAATTAAAAGTATAGGATTTTAAAAGCTACTTGGAAATCAATAAAAAAAATGGAACACAAATTTCTGCAGAAAAGAAAAGCCAAATTTTTTACTTCACAAAGGAAAGGTTTTTCTGCGAGAACTCTGTAACGTTCTGCAATAATATTGCCGTGTCACCACGATTCTGCCACAGGGATGGGACTTTATGCATTGGAAGGATTGTTGTAATAGGAGGTCATACTGAAGACTGTAATAAAATATTTATTATAAGTCAATGTTTTTTTTTTAAAAAAAAAGAAAAATGTATATTGCTTAATTTTGCAGTTTTACTTAAGTGAATAATCTAATGATCAATATTAATTGTTCTTTTTTTTTAAAATTTTGTATAATTTTTTTTAGGGTCCATATGTTTATGAGCTGTTCTCGATTATGGTGCATTCTGGTAGTGCTAATGGTGGCCATTATTATGCATACATTAAGTAAATATTTTTTTTTCTTAAAAATGCTTTTGAACCCTATTAAAGAAATTTTAAATTAATGTTGCTGTTTATTTAAAGTTTGAAGTCATTTCATGTTTTTTTTTTGTTTAAATTGTAAGACAGATTTAGTTAACTCATCTTTGTAAAAAATGAAATATTCATCATGAGAAATCTTTTATTATGTTTTATCTGTTTTTCAGTAAATAAATCTCTTGTATTTTCTAATCAACCTTTTCACTTTTTAGACTTATTACAATTAGTTCTTATGCTTTTAGGCTGATTTGAAAATACACCACTCATTAGTTGATTATCCTAATCCCATAGAAGTGATGTCTTGTTGTAAATAGCCTTATTTCAGATTTATTGTAATTAGTCTAATCGTAATCAGCCTGAGAAATTCTTTGCATTGTTCTGTATCAAGTAGATTAGAAAGTATTAAAGTCTAGCATGCATTGCAAATGCTGGTGACCTTTACTTTTAAAATGTCCCTTTAATACATCTTCATAAGTTTAAAAAATAATGTATATGTTTTATATTTACTGGTAATTTTTAAACTTTTAATAATATTTTTGTAAGGAAATGCAATTAGATTACTAAAAACTTTTCAGCTAAAAAAGATATGTTAGTTTTAAGGGTTTTATGTGATTTTATTAACTGTAAAATTTTGTTGGAATGTTATGATATACTGATAAATTTTTCCTTTAGAGATTTCAAGCATGGGGAATGGTATTGTTTCAATGATGCTCAGGTGACAAAGGTAAAGTAATGTATTGTTTTCTTTATTTTTGTATTGATTGTGGACACTTGTTGCTGCATTTATCCTTACATATGGGTGAATCTCACGAAATATGACAATTCACTGTCCCTTGCTCCTAGATCTAATACTATAATTCTAAAAGAACTTTTTTTTTAAAAAAAAATTAATAAATAGCATTGCTGTTAGCATTTTAAAATGACTTTGCACTAGCATTGACTGTTTTGTATAGTTAAAATATTTAATTGAACTTCAAAATGTCATTTTCCACGCATGTCCCAAACAATGTTTCCAATAATAACTAGCTACAAAACTTCCCATAACATTTTCAATATCTAATTTTTTTTTTACCTCAACTGATGTAAGCATTTCTAGAATATACCCAGAGGGTATTATTTACAAAAACTTCGTTTAAAATAATTTTTTCTGTCAGTAATTTGTTTGTCCCAAGAAAATCTGTCATTTTCCTGGCTAATCTTATTTAGTGGTTTATAACCAAAATAGATAGTCAGCAATCAATATCTTAAGTTAATAGATTGATTAGATACCCTTCTATATGAACATGTCTTGTTGCATGAATAAAGAACCAATTTTTCTGCTTCAAAATCTATTTCAAAATTTTTTTCAAGATGAGTAGGTTTTTGTGTTGTCATTTTCCTGCCTTCCTGAAATCATTAATAACATAAACTACATAGATTTATCTGAGTTATTTTACGAAATCCTGTTGTTTTATGCAGAATGTAAACGTCTTAGGTCAAAATATTAAATTAAATTAAAGTTATATGCTATAAAATGGTGAATTTGTCATTATCCTGGCTGTCATTTTCCTGGCTTATGAATGCCAGGACATTAAAGTCTTACCAGAAATTTTTTTTAACTGCTAATACTGTAAGGAGGGAAAGCAAATATTAACCTAATACCAAGTTTATGTATGATTGTAATATCAGGGGTCTGTCCAGACATTTTGTGAAAGGTCCGTTTTATGTGAAATTGTGAAAAATTACTCACATTCTTTCAACCAGGGTCCGTTTTTATGAATTTGTGCAAATAGGGTCCGTTATTGCAAAAAAAAGAGACTTTTTCAAGGACTTTTTAAATTGTAAATAGATACAAGATTATGCTGTGCACTGTAAAATTATAATAAAAAAATTAAATTTTCAAAAATAAACAGCAATTACTGCTTCTAAATTAGAGATGCAACATTTGATATTTAGCCTATACACTGCTGAACGCAGAATATTCATTTCGGAAGAATAATGGAAGAATCGTCTGCCGAAGACAAAACTTAATTCGTTTACATCCATCTTTCTTGTTTTCTGCCTTGGGAAGGGTTTATTCGATTAACAAAACAATAATGAAGATAAACAAATTTGTGAAGGGTCCAATTAAAAGAAAAATCATTTTGTGAAGGGTCCGTTTTTAAGTTAAAATATTTTGTGAAGGGTCCGTTTTTAAGTTAAAATATTTTGTGAAGGGTCCGTTTTTATGAAAAGATATTTTGTGAAGGCTCTGTTAACGGACCCAAATTTCTTCTAAACAGACCCCTGAATATGCTTGGATGTAATCGAAGTTATTTATTTATTTAATGATTGATTATTGTACACAATTTTATTCTGTACTTATCAGCAACAAAAATTTTTTGATTCTTTCTACAGTGGATAAAAAGAATTAATTTAAGCAATTTATGGTCCATCTGACCTAAAGGCTTAAGTTGTGTTACTTACTATTAACTTAAAATGACTGTTTTTTAAACTTCTAAGCTAATATGTCATTTTCCTGGCATTCAAGATTTGGTGAATTTCTATTTTATTTTTTTACTGGAGCAAATGTCAATAAACTGCACTGTTCTCCGCAAGATATTAATAAGTGTGACTAAAGAAGTATAAAAAAAAATTTTAGATTATTTTGAAGACTTTAAATTTAAAGAAATTTTTTGGTCTGAATTGTCAAGTTTAAAAAGAATCACCCATATATATCAGTCACTTATTTTATTTCTATGCCCATTTATTCTTGTAAAGATAGCCATTTCTGTACATAAACTTCAGAAATGTGTTTTTTTTGTTTAGATAACGTATGATGACATCCAAAAAACATATGGTGGTGGACCCTTAAGAGGTTATTATTCAAGTGCATACTCAAGGTATAGAACATACTAAATCAAATTTTTTTAAATTAATTTTTTAAAATTTTTTATTTATTTGTTTATTTTTTTGTTTCTAGCATTCTTATTTATTTGTAAGGCTACTAATTTATTATCTTGAGAAAGTTTTTTCTGAAGAAAAAAAAATTTAATGTGTTTCAAAAATTATGTAGAAGAGGCGGAGTTTGAAACTTAGTGCTTTGGTACAAGGCTTCTCAAATCAGACTTGTACTAACCTAAAGTATCGGTCAGTTATGCCTCTGACTAACATTCAATTAAATGTAAATAAAAGATTATTTTTCTGATAGGGATGTTTGGTTTGACATTTTCGCCTCTCTAGTTATGCAGTCTTTGGTCTGTATATCTTCATTGTAGTTTTTGACATGTTTCTTATGTGCTGGGATTATTTGAAAAACCAAAGTTGACACCCAGTTAAATTGCGGGATTTCACTCTTAATTGTAATTTGCGCTTGCGCAATAGAGGATTTAAAAAAAAAAAAAAAAAAATGACGGCCATAGTTAAGTGCTTTGTGAACATTTCTGTAGTGTTGTCAATTGGAAGGAATTTGTAACTTCTGCTTTGGAAGTATTGACATGTTAGTTTTTTATTTTATTTATTTTTTTGAAAAAATCCACTTTTGTTTCTCAATTTTCTATATTCTTGATTTATAATTTTGGATCATGAATTGATTGTTAAGAACAAAGCGATTTTCATTGTCTGCTATGTTTATTTATTTGATATCTATATTTTTTAACTGAATGAATTCTGATTCCTCTTTTTTCAAATTCTGCCTCATGTGGAATCACATCTGTTTTCATTAAAAATCTTCTATTATTATAAATAAAAGTAGAAGATAGTTTATACTTAACATTCAATTATTTATTATTAAAATCAATTAGATATGAAATAGGATATTTTTTGTGAAAAATTATATTATATATCTTAAGAATTCCTATTATTATTTCCTATTATTATTATATATCCACAGTTCAACCAATGCTTATATGCTGATGTATAGACAGATTGACAAAGAAAAAAATGCAGGTAAGTTTAATTTGTCTTTTGTTACATTTAAATGCAACATAGTCCATTTATAAATCAAAATATATTGGAACTTTTCTTAATCCAGAGTGCATAGTATTTTTTAAAGAAACTTAAAGGTGCTTAATTTTTCTTTACCATTTTTGGTTTTTGCCAAAAATTATGCAAAGAGCATGGTTTTCACGTCATTTTATTCAATGCTTTCACGATTCATTTAACCATAAACCATTCAGGCATACCTTCTGTCTGTAACACTTGAAAGCACCAACCAATTTACATGTTTGGTAAAATGCCTGCAAGTCCGCATGTGCGTGTACTGAGCTGGATTTGGTGCGAAGGATTCTTGCACTCTAATGCGCAACTCTGCTGCAGTTTGCAAGAGATTCTCAATTTCAAGCATTATTTTCCACCCTCTGAAAACTATTTATTTAATAGATTTAACCATAAACTAAAACCCTTATCTAAAAGTTAAGAGTTATCCAATCCTATCAAATCTTGACAAACTATCTAGTAGAATATTACATCATTGTAGTGTATCTACCACAAATATAATTCCAATTCACTAGTGTATTAGCCATGTTAACACAATTTTATGTGGAGGTACCTTTTCATAGATGACGGTTGACATGGTCGATAACTACTCGTGCCCCACATTGGTGACCTTCAGACATGATGTGAGCACGCCTACCTTGCCAGAAACGCCCACTACGATTTTAACATGTCTTCTTCGATGGATGGTCCACATTGAACAGATGACTTGCTACTTGTGACTGCGACATTGTCCTCCTCACGCTGTTGCTTCTCAGTCTCGATCACACATAACGTACGACGTATTCCCTCGACTACAAATGGCAACACAGGAGCAGTCACGACCTTGAACTAAATACAGCTCTCACTGCTAAATTGCTTTCTCTCACAAGAACGCAAATTTTCTTGTCGGATTGTTCTATCCCATTTCTTAATCAGCATTTTTCTTCGAATCACACGTCAACCGCATTTTTTTCTCATTATTATTTCATCTCGCTGTTGCCACTCAGCACTTATCATTTTTTATTAGGATTAACAAATAATAATTTTGAAAGGGTATAAAATTAATCTAACATTTTTACTAAATACATTTTAGCAGGCATTAACAACTTAATAACAAAAAAAAATATTAAAAAAATTATCTCAAAATTTATATTAAAAAAAAAAAAAAAATTAGGGTTACATTCTACTGACTACAATTATTTTTTAAAACTCTCAATAAAGTTTTATTACAAGAGTTTATTTTTTTATCATAACATCCTCTATTGTCACTAAAAAGATTATTCAGAAAAAATAGGTTCTAAATGAAATAAAAATTACGAAACAAAAATCTATATAATTGAAGAAAACTTTTGTAATGTTCTTAATAGTACTGGTCTTTGAACTGCTTGCTTATAAAATTGCAGTTTAATAATATAAGAAGTTTTACTTGATAAAAGGCAGTTTAATGTGACATTTATTGTTGTTGTTACTCATACCCCTGGTGTAAGCCTACACCAGGTCTAAAAAACGTCGCCTGAGAACATAGAAAATCTTCTGCTCAACCAACAACTGCCTCCAGGGGGCTATTAAGCAATTAAAAGAAGAATTGGTGCTTGTATGGGGGGGACTTACTTTTCTGACGAGATTCTCTTCCTAAATCCCGAACGTGTCTCTGTTTTACTTGCTCGACGGAGGATGCAGTATGAGATTGGAAGATATGCAACTGGTCCATGGCTAAGGGTGATATGCAGCTTAATTTGATTGAGGAATATTGAGGGTTGAGGACTGACTAAACCTCAATATTCGCCTGCAGTCATTAGCTGAGCATAATGGAACAGCTTTCACGCCTTTTGTGACCCTGAGAGGAGAATACCCGTGCGTACGTCGCCTGTTCTGCCCAGAAACACCCCCTCATCACTATGAGGCTGACTGCAGGACTAGAGGGGACATTTAGTGTATTTATTGGGTTATTCATGTATAAGGCAAAATTAATGGTCGCCACAGGTCGACTGACTATTAAAAAAAAGTGGCAATCAAAAGTCCTGGAGGCTGAAATCAGTTTTGCGAAAAAATCATGAGACTAAATTTCATCAATAAATCTCTTTTCCATTTGTTCTTTCAATTTAAATTTTCTATTTTCCTTAAAAATGTTTATTTTATACAAATATTACATTTTAATGAAAACGTTGTTTTTCATAATTATTGCAAAGTGATCTAATAGTGATGTACTGCAATGAAAGAATGCAATTGATAGAATTTCCGCACCTGCTTGTTGAAACAAAATTTGTACTATTTTTGTATCGAAATTTGTTAGAGTTTTCATTTTCCCCTTACATTTTAAGATAAATGTATAGAGATAGGGACAATAAAAAAAAGGTAAAGCAAAAAAAAAATAAATAATAATTGACGTATGAATAGCTTTATGAAAAAATTAGTGGTTTATTATCCAGTGATTGGTGCAAAAAGATCTACAAGTTTAAATATTAATGAAATCTTTCCTTTAATATATGTGCTATTATTATGGAAAGATACATTTTAGAGTCCATGAGCTATGAATTTCTGAAAATTCTGGTACAATGCAAGATCATGTGGATTGGTCAAATAATTAGTGCAGTCTTAAAATTTTTTTAGATTGGCAGCCTTGGAAATGCATCCTGTAATGCTTATCATGCTTTAATAGCAATAACCTGTATTAAAATTGCTGGTAACAACATGGTGTGTAGCATTTTTAAAAATTGCTTTAAGGCTCTTTTTTCTTTGTGTGTTTTTAAAAAGTGCTTAATATTCCTTTTTTGGAAATGAGATTTTTTTTTACCATGTTGATTTTCACCATGTATTATGTAAAAGCATGCTTTTTCACATTGTTCTATTCAACATTTTTACATTTCATTCAACCACAATTCATTTTGGCGTACCGTCTGTCCACAGAGTATAACAGCGCCAATCATTTTATATGTTTGAAGTAATTGTAAGTCCACATGTATGTCTACTGAGGTGAATTCAGTTTGATTATTGCACTCTGTTGTGCAGCTCTGCTGCATTTTGCAAGATATTCTAAATTTCATTTTCTACCCTCTGATATTAAACCGAAAAGTCTCTGGATCATTTTATAAAGACTAATATAATTGAGAAAACAGTTCTTTGTCAGAAACTCTTTATTTTATCATGATCATGTAAAGTCTTTGAAAATTATTTTGCTTTTTGTTAGCATATACAGTGCTTAAAAATATTTTTTGAGTGCTTAATAAGTACTTTAAAGGTGTTTATTTTTTGTTGAAAGATTTGACTATACACCCTGTAACAACGTTATTGCATTTCAATTGCAGAGTGCATGTCACTTGTTGAATTCCCTGAACATGTTCAAGCTTTGTTGCAGTGTATGCAGGAACAAGAAGAGAGGGAAAGAAGACAAAGAGAATTAGATCGTTCGATGTGCAAAGTATGTTCATTTTTATTTAAAACATTCAATGTAACAATATTAAAAACATTCATTGAATCCATTTTTTCAAAAAATTTACAGATCAAGCTATTTTGCCAGTATCCCAGGGAGATGATCGAAATGAAATTGAAGGTTCATAAAGATTGTACTCTTGCTGAGGCCACTGCCACCGCCCACACTGTAAATATTTGCTTTATTTATGTATTTTCTGGTGAACAAAACGAATGAATGTGTGTGACCATAAATTCATAAAAATAAGTTTTTTAACAGCTCCCCTTACCAATTTTTTTGAAGCAAAGAAATAAACCCGTAATTTTTAATCCTTTGGTGTTTTCATAGTGCTAAAAATAACTTAAATTTTCGTACGTAAATTAAAACCATCTACGTAAATTCATCGAGCACCAAACACGTTTGCAGTCCCACAAACAGCAAAACTCCCCAAACAATAATTGCCAAACTTCCAATCACAGCAGATTATTATTATTTTTTGTTTTGCTTCCGGTCGAATAAAAATGTGATAAAACAAAACATATTGACGAATTTTGCTATGCCAGAGTTTACTCGCGATAATAAATATTTGCAATATAATTATTATCAGGCTATATATTAATATATATAGCCTGATTACCCGAGTTAACTCGGGATAATCAGGGAACCAGTTAATAGTGCTAAAAATTGACAGAAATATAAAAAGAGTATAAAGTACATTCAAAGCTGCCAACTGTAGTGGATTTACCAGTAGACTACTAGATTTTGCCAGTTTTTCTTGTTCTACTGGTTTAATAAAAATTCTCCTAGTTTTTGTACATTTTAGAAAATTTCCTAAGATAGTGTAAGCTCCCTAAAAAGTCTCAATTGAATTAGAAGTTTAGCACAGGTTATTACTTGCTTGAATATTTAAAAAAAATATTACCAATACATAATGAAGCGAGCCTTACTTATAGAAAACTTTTTTCTTATAAAATGTTCAGTTTATTTTCATTCAGAACTCCCTTTTTCAATTAATTAAAAAAATCTTAACTATATTTAAGAAATTAAATGCCCATTGTTATTCAAAATTATAAGTGAACATAATGCATTACTGTTTCAAGTATATTTAATGTCAATCATAACTGGAAAATATTGCAGTTTTTCTATTTTGATTATTATTATAAAAATCCCTAAACTTTCTTATGTGTAAAATATTTATAAAAAAAAAATCCTGAATGAAATAGAAATTATCGTTTGCTTAAATATTTAAATATGTATTGCTAATACATATTGAAGTAAGCCTCATTTTTTGTAATCAGTTTGAATTTTTTTTTTTTTGTTCTAAAATTTTCTGTTAATTTTTATTCAGTGTTATCCTTTTTGAGTTAATTAAAAAAAATTTAAACTATGAATAATAAATGTCTTGTCCATTGCTATCAAAAATGAGTTTTAAAAACACTTCAAGTTGAAGTTCATTTAATGTTAATCATGAGTGGAAAATAGTGCAGATCATTAATTGTTATTAGAGTGATAAAGATTTTGTATTTTGATGACAATGAAAGAAAATTCCCTTTTTGAAAAATATTTAGCATATTATGCAACAGTTATCATAATATTTATATTTCGTGAAACCTACTGGATTTTTTCCTATTCATGTTGACAGCTATGTACATTGTAAAATGTTTAACCACTAAAAAAGTTTCTCACTGAAATAATCAACTGTTTTTTATGTTTGTATTTATTACAGTAATCATACCCATGAATGAGCGTAGTGAATAGAGTATTCGATTTAACTCAGATGAGATTCTCTAATTTGTCATTCACTCTTAATATAATGCTTGGGGCAACATAAGTTTGTTGAGCAGTTAGGGGGTGACTTATTGCAAGATTATTACCACCTATTCTCCAATTTAAATTGTGATTGAGTTGTGCTCAGATTATCACCACGAAAAAATAAGTGCATTTCTAGTTCAAGTTCAACAACCGAAACCAATTTTAGGTATCACAATTCTTTTATGAGTTGTGCTGCTTACCATGACAATTTTATTAATTTTTAAAAATATATGTATGACAATGAGAAAACAGCAAAAAGTTACGAAAAAGATCTATGTAAACTGAAGGAAAAAAAATACTTTAAATAAAACTTTATTTATGCTTTATTCAAATTTTTTGCTTTAGTCAACAAAATTTTTTTTTTTACATACTAAATATGTTTTAGAAAAAATTTTGAGATGTACATTTCAATTACTTTTGATGCATAAATATTACGCAACATTTGAATTTTTTAGCACATGTATGAGCTGATGTTTTATTATAATCTAAATAAAGCTGTAATTTTAACTGGACTTGTTTCACCACTGGATACAATTAATTTTAACTGTTTAACTTTACAATTGATTTTAACTTTAAAAGTAATTTTAACTGTCCAAAACTGTAAAAAGTGGTTTTAAACTCTCGCGATTCGAATGATTTTTGTCAGAAATTGGAATGACTTTTTTCAATTCAGAGTAATTTGTTGCTAGATAGGAATCTGGGAATTTGAAATTCCTAAAATCTGAAAATCATTTAACATGAAATTCCTAAAAGTGTAATGTTTTTCCTAAAAATTGGTCTTGTTAAAAAATAAATTATTTAAAAGTCACTGACCTTATAATTAAAACCTCTGTGGTCAAAACTAATTTATCCTTAAATTTTAGAATTGAACGAGTCAATTGATACATTGAAAAAAAAATGTTTTTCTTTCATTACTTTAATTCTTTGCAAATCCTTTGCTGAAAACTTTTCTTAATATTTTTATAGATCATGGGACTGGAAGGGAATGTTCCACTGGATTGCTGTCGACTTGTCAAGTACGATGACTTCCACGACTCTTTGGAATGTTCGTTTGACAACTGTAATGACATGGCAATGGGCGACCTCCTTGGAGGTGTCAAATCAAACTATAAATTTGAACTATTTCTCGAAATAAAGAAGCCAAATGAAATTTTTCAGGAATATCGACCAGGGGGTACGCATCTTTTTTTCTGTATCTAAATACTATTAACTGCTCTCCACAGTAAAATAAACTTTCCTCTAATTTTCGTTTTTAGGTACTACTGTAAAAGTACATACAGTTGATCTGGAAAAGGAGGAAATTGCCATTCATCCAGTTACAATTCGAAGTCACCCTACAAACACTGTACAGGATTTAAAACTTCAGATTGCTAAGGTAACAGTTCTTACCAATCTAAGTACAGGTCAGCCTTAATTAAACTAGAGGAGTTTAAAGTCTGATGATGATGAAACTACTGCACCGAATTGAAGTTTGTCCTCCTTAAATTAAGTGCTTGTATGCTGTTTGCTTGTAAGCAACAAGTATTTTCAGTGATGTAATCAAGTTTCAAGTAACCTGCAGTGGTAGAATTATTAATTAGACATAGCGTTAGTGGTAGATAATTTTGTCACTGGTCAAAAAGACCAATAACCTATTTCTTGTCCAAACACACTTTTGCTGGTCTGTTTGTCTCTATTTGATTTTTTTTTTAAAAAATGTTTAATGTTATCAGTTACAATGAAATATGCTATGTTGTGACAAAAACACCCACCATAACCATCCTTTTACATTGTTTGCTGATTTGCAGGGTCACCGATGATTTATTTTAAAATTTATTCCAAGTCGAAATTTAGTTGTCCCATTAAAATAAACCACCGTTAAATTTAAACTCTGTCTTCCTTTTAGCATAAAAATCTACTTCTAATGGGTGATTGCTTAAGCGTTAGCTATGAAATGTAAAATTATATTAGCAAATGCGATGCCGATAATTAAATGCATTTAAAATATCAATTTTCTCTACTCTTGTCTATTTCATCCTTAAGATTAAGATTAAAGATATTTTATTTTTAAGCCTTACAATGTTATTTAAATCCTCTGTGGCTAAAAGAAAAATGAAATAATAATTTAAATTTGCATAGTCTAAACGTCTACCACTAATTTGGTCTTCCATCCAGCAATTTTCTCAGTATCAAGCTTTAAGCACTTCTACTTTGATTATGGCTACCCTGTACATGTTGCTGCTAGTAAATCATTTTGTCTTAAACACTTATGTTTTTGTGCAGGCACTTGATGTAAACTGCGAGATGAGATTAGTGTTGGAATTGTATGCAAATGACTACAAATTATTAGATGTTCCTACGAAGACTTTAAGCAGCGAAGGTCTCAGGAAAAGCAATAAAGTAGGCATTTAAATGAAATTCAAAAATATCTAACATTTTTATCTTCTAAAATATCTAGAATTGCAATTATATTACATCAATGCAATAGGGGTCTATTATCAGTTAGTAAAAAACTTTTGTCTGTATTATTGTTGCTAAAGGGTATTTCTTCAAAAAAATAAAATAAATAAGTAATAAATAAATTTGCCTAAAGTGCATTTAAAAGTAATGTATATAGGAGTATAAAAACATTCAATCTTGCTCTGAACAGATTTTTGGGGATCTACTCAATTTCAATAAATTCTGATGTTTATATTATTTATTCAAGAAAGTAATACCGTAATGGTATCCAAAAAACTGGGAAACTAGGAAAATGTTGCTCTGTTTTTTTTTTGCCATTTTAAGCTAAAACGATTGAGGCAAAATGTGAAAATTCCAGTCATCCTTAAAGTTGGTAGAGGGCATGGTAGGGAATTTTTTTTTCTGTCATGTGTTGAAAGAAAACTTAATGCTTCTTTTTTAACCTTGAAAGTTGACTATGGGTGGGGTTGGAGAACTTTACAAGTTAGACTTTGGAAGAAGAAAAAAAAATAAAGGAGTTTATGTTCACTAATTTATTTTATTTTAGAAAAATGAATCAAATCAGTGTAATAAGTTTGAACAGAAATATATATTTTATCTTTGTTAGTGCCCTATCTCTTACAATGTATATGTTAAGTTTAGTTTAATGAAAGTATAAGTTAAGTTAGTTTAATGAAATGTATATGTTAAGTATATCTTAAGTTTTGTCTTTACGTAACATGACAAATTAAGAAAACTGGAGTTAAAGTTTCAAATAGGTTATCCAATTTTCAAATATATATTTCAAATTTATTTATTTTTATTTTCTCTTAAGTTTAGTCCTCTTGTATTTCATTTCTTTCAAACCCAATTTATCACTATTTTGAATGTGTGTATTTTTTTCTGTTAATATATTTTTTTAATCTTTTAGTATTAGCAATTGATGAAATTAATATTAAAATTTTCCTTTATATTATTGTGTATGTGCATTTAAACTTATTAATTAAATACCAGCAGTTAGAGTTATAAGGATTTGTAACTTTTTCATTTGTTTGATTTAAGTAGATAATAAACTAATAATAAACACTGACTTATGAGTTAAAAGATCAGCTATGGTTTGTTATTGATTCTTTATTTTTTACGTGGAAAAAAAATCAGACAATTGCAATAATTATTTTCTATATGCTCAATTTTTTTCTTCTTATTTTGCGTACTGTTATTAGGTTTTTGCAGAGTTTAAAGATGCTGCAGATGCAGAAAAGCCATACAATGAATCCAAATTATTTAAAGTGCTTGATTCTCATGGTCACACTATTTGCATTCAAGTAACGCTTCCTAAAATTGATCAAGGTATTCTTATTTCCTTGTTCTTTTTTGTAAATTTTTAATTATATTTGTTTATTATATTGTACTACTGCAGTTTCTAGTTCTAAGCCTGAAAAAGTGAATTTAATTACATTTACTTTCCTATAAAAACATTGCCATTCATATTTGTATTAATTATCCATTTTCGTTAACCAAATCAGCCTCTGTTCCAACCAGTATAAATAATCATTACTGTACTTAATTTTAATTAAATTATGATTTCTGATTTTTCCCTTTATAATTCAAGATAGCTGCCTTTTTTTTTGTAATATTTGTTATTTGAGGTTCACTCTGTCATTTTATCTTTATATATTTTACAAAATTAAGTTACAGTTCTTTAATTATTTAATTAATCATTTGAGAAAATTAAATACATTATTTATAATGTTGTATTTGCACTTTTTAATAACTAAATAGGAATTCAGCAAAATGAATTTGCAGAAAAAGAACTTATCAAGAAATTTTTTGTTGCAAGTAGAATAATATTAATACAGTAGGGAACCTATTATATGGACCATCGCTATTCCGGATAACTGATTTTTCCGGTTTTCTGAATCGCTACAAAAAGTCGTTCTTTTTATTGTCAAACCCAACTAAAAAAATAAAAAATATTTGGAAATAATCTTAAAAAGAAGAAAAAACTATGAAGTAATACACTAATGATTATTTTCAAAGTGATGGTAAGGGAAACATCTTTCAAAAAATAAAGAAAAATCCTAAAATCTTATGAGGAAAAAAATTTTTTATTTTTTAAATTGGCAGGAAAATTTATGGAATTTCGTTCCGGTTTTTTAGTTTTCTGATTTCCGGATAACGGGTTCTGTACTGTATTCATATTACTGAAGATATTTTTATGCATGCTTTAATAAAATTACACCTATTTTTTATGATAATAAATCTGGGAGCATTTTAGTAAAATTATGGTGATGTTAATTTTTAAATTGAATATATGTTCTTTAATTAATGATCAGTCACCAATAAAAAAATAATTTAAATTTATGTTCCACAGCAGGCTTTTCAAAGCTTTGAGAAACCCTTAAAAAGTACTTTTCAAATTTCAAGTTACAAACTTGAAGTTCAAGTTACAAACTCTAGTTTTCAAACTTGAAGTTATATTCAAGCATGGCTCCTAGAAATGCTTGAAAATAACTTCAAGTTTTTGAAAAATAAAATGATAAATCTAAAACTGGAATTTTATTGTTAATTTTTAAAATTAAGCATTATTAATGTATGTCTAGTTTTCAGTGTTCTAAAATCATATAATTACAAGATTAATGGCACGTGTTACTGATATGTCTAGTTGAAACATTCTTACCTAAAGGATACAATTCACTTTTTAAAACTATGTACTGAATTTCGGAAAATTGGAAGTGAAATTTTGGAAATTCCAAAATAGAAATGTGAAAAAAGAAAATTTAAGCATTAAATTTGTACAGGGTTTAGAATTTAAATACTGAATAATTAAAAAAGAGAGAGAAACAGAAAGAGTAAATGAAAGTATCTTTGCATATAAATTATTTTTAAATTTCTAAGTAGCTGAAGCTTATTTAGCTATTTTTGATTGAGTTAGTATAATGTTTGAAAACGTAAAAACCTGATTATGGAAGTAAGGTTTATAAATTAAGTTCTTCAGTTGTAAACTTAAGTGAGCGTTTCCCCTTCCAATTTTACAAGTACTTGAAATAGGTAAATTGTCCTTAATTTTAAACATGAAGCATGACAGATAATGGATTATGCTTGTTTTTTTTTTTGTGCTATTTTGTAGGCACTGTAGATCGTTTAAAACTCTATGAAGACTATTCTGATGATGAAGGCAAATATGATTTAAGTAGTGAAGAAGATACAGGAGAAAATGGTTTGTTGATCTTGTTGTTTTTTTCCCTTACAATTTTATTAATATTTTCAAAGTTTGAACAAATGTTTATTATTAGTTCTTATGCTATCAAACATTTTCAAGGATGCCTACTATTTATGAAAAATGTTTAAGGTGCTTATTTTTGATTTCTGTTTTTAAAAGTTTCTGTTTTTCATTAAGTGTTTTTAGAAGGTGCTTAATTTTCTATTTTCCAATATGAGAAATTTTTTCTTCAACATGTAGATTTTCGCCACAAATTAGCAAAGAGCATGTTTTTCATATTGTTCATAGCGCATAGCGTCTTTAAAAGGTGCTTATTTTCGATTTTGGTTATTTAAAGCCCTTAAAGGGGCTTTTTTCATTGGGTCTTTTTAAAAAGTACTTAATTTTCCCTTTTCAAAAATGAGATTTTTTTTCGGTACCATGTCGATTTTCGCCACGTATTATGCAAAAGTGTGCTTTTCACATTGTTCTATTTAACGTTTTTGAAAGTCATTTCGGCGTACCGCCGGTCTATGGCGTATGAAGGTGCCAATTATTTTACATGTTTGATGAAATACTTGCGAGTCGGTATGTGCTTCTTCTGAGCTAGGTTTAGTGAGATTATTGCCTTCTCATGTACAACTATGCTGCATTTTGAGAGATATTCTGAATTTCAGACTTCATTTTCCACCCTCTGATATGAAACCGAAAAATCTCTCGATCATTCTATAACGGCTAATCTAATCAAGAAAAGAGTTCTTTGTCAGAAACTAGTTATTTTATCATGATCATCTAAAGCCTTTTAAAATTATTTTGCATTTTGTTAATGTATATAGTGCTTATAAATATTTTTTGAGTGCTTATTTTTGTTGAAAGATTTAGCTATGCACCCTATTATTCTATTCAACATTTTCACAATTCATTCAACCGCAATCCATTTCGGCTTAAAGTCAGTCCGTAGCATGTGAAAACGGCAATTATTTTAAATGTTTGATTGAATATCTGTGGGTCCGCATGTGCGCATTCTGAGCTGGATTGAGTTCAGAAGATTTTTGCACTGTTATGTGCAACTGCATTTTATAAGCGATCCTTAATTCAGACTGCATTTTTCTGATATATTAATCTTGTGAATGCTTTGTTGAATATTCTTTTTTAAATAATAATTTAGAATTAAAATTCTTTTATCTAATTAAGTAAAGTAATTGTTAAATTAAAGAAATTGGAGCCACTCTGCATCGTATGCATTTAAAATGTGTGTAAATTGTTTTTTGGTGGCTGATATAATCATGTAAAGAGTTCTATTCTATCATGATCTTGTACAGTCTTTAAAAATATTTTACATTTTGTTAATATATATATGAAGAAAAAAGTTTGCATATCCAAATAATGATATTTGGTGCTTATAAGGTGCTTATATTAGCACCTTCTAAGCAGTGTTGAAAAATTTGACTGTGCACCCTTATTTATTTCACCAAAAATTGAAAAATTATATTTGCTATGACTCATTCAATTTAAACTTAATATATATTAATATATGCTCTCAATCATAACTTCTAATTATTTAAAAACAGCTACTTAAACAGGGTTCCCACGGCTCAGGGAGAACCTGCAACTCTCAGGGAATTTTATTTTAACTTCAAAAATCAGGGAAAGTTGCAAAAACCTGGAAAATAACAGTATTAAAATTGTCAGTAACAGTAATCAGTTATTGAGATTCGAGTTAAATAATTCTAACATATATTACAATTATTTGTTATAAAAATTTCACATTTTAGTCAAACTGAAATGTTTCTATCCTCATTTAATATTTTTTTTACTCAGAAAATCTAATATTTTGCATTACAAATAAAGGAATCAAAGTTTTCTAAGGGAAATATGGTCTCTATTTTCATTGAAATTTACCTGGTATAGCTGGAAAAGTCAAGGAATTTTTTTCTGTGAAATTGAGTGGGAACCCTGCTTAAACATTTAAGTTTTAATGAAGTTATATTGTTAAATTATAACTGCAGAACTTGGGGAGATTTTCTACTGCAGGTATCAAGTCTTCAAAATTTAAGCCGAAATCTAAAGTTTTCCTTCCTTTATAAATTGGTATGTGTATACAAAGCTAGTGCACCGTTTTGTTGGTACCTTTGAATAAGGATCATTGATTTCATGAGGACGTAATTCCCTTTTCTTTTTTCGCTCCTCCTGTGTTCCTTCTTCCTGTACCCTTTAGAATAAAGGAAGATATGTTCCATTGAGTGCATGACGAATGGTATCTGGCCTCAAAGCTGCAAGTTTTGAAGAAAAAAAATTTCAATTTTACCCAGATTTATTTTGATTGTTAAAAAGTATCCAGAAAATGGATCATTCCACTGGAGAAATTTCCATATATGGAATAATGTGCAAGAAAATAACTTCAATTCTTATTTTGTACTTTAACGTTAAATTTTTGAAGAAAGTTTTTGTTCAAATGTAAACTTTGTTAAAATTTATTTTGTTTCATTTTTATTTATTGATTTTTTATTTTTCCATGTTATTCAAAAGAAATATAGGGCATTATTGAAAATTTATGTACAGTTTTGCGCAGATATTAAACACTTGTAGCATTAAATAGTCCTTTTTATAAACAATCAAATTTGTTAATTACAGGGTGTCTGCGCTCCTGGAAAGTCATGAAAAATCATGGAAAGTCACAAATTTTGGTATTGAACAAAATTTGTCATGAAGTCACGGATTTAAATTGATCTAATTTTTCTATCTAATTTTTTTTGAATGGAAAAATCTAATTTTTTTAAAATGGACATGACACACACGCACCTCCAATTTAATGATGTTCCAAATATCTGAATAATTAGTAACAAAATCCCCACTCAGTCATATTTGATTAAAATATAAAATGTTTTTTATCATGTCTTTAAAAATTATGTTGTTCTTTAAAAAAATGAAAGAAAAAACATCACTTCTTGAGCGAATTACCTTTTTAAACTTCTGTGATTTCAGAATTTTTACTTTATTTTATCAATTATAAATTCTATCTGAAGCAAGCCAGTCATTGGCAAATTTTTTTTATTCTGAAATGAAAACAGAAAAATCAGGAGTATTTCTTTCCTTTTTGATAAACAAGAAAAGTGTCTTTAGAATATAATTCTGCAGAAAAAAAAGAAGAAAAAATTATTTGCTTTCATATTTTTTTCTGCTATTTTATTGCTTTAACTCTTTCATTACTCTGTTTTTTAAATTTAAAATCTATAAATATGAAGATGCAGAGTATAACAGTCTTGTTATACCTATCATGTCAATTAATATTATTATAATGCTTCTTTAAATTTTTTGTTGTATTTTTTTCGGAGAAAATAGTAACTTCATTAAGTCATGAAAAATTCTTGGAATTAATCATGGAAAGTCATGAATTTGAAATTCTAAAATATAGCAGATACCTTGTAATTAGTATTGGAATGTTTTGTGTCTTATTTATGTGTTGCTATGTTTTGTGCATTTAGCAATGAGTTTTATATTAATTTTATTGAAACTAATGAATTTTAGCTCAAGAAACTGCTGGAATTCGGAAAACTTTCTTGAGAAAAGATGTTTACTTCCAAAGGCCATCGAAATCTCAGGCAACTTCCAAAAGCGATGTTTCTGGCTGCAGCATAGACTTCACCAAGGGTGAACCCATTCAAGTCCATGATGAAGGTCTGTAATTAGTGTTGGAATGTTTTTTGTCTTATTTATGTGTTACTATGTTTTGGCATTTAGCTGTGACTTTTACATTAATTTTATTAAAACCAATGAATTTTAGCTGAAGAAAGTGCAGAAAGCAAGAAAACGCTAGTTATCTCCCAATCGTTGAAAGCTCCGATAATTTCCAAAAGCAATGTTTCTGGCTACAGCTTCGACTTCACCAAAATGAGTGATCCCTTTCAAGACTGTGATGAAGGTCTCGGTGACAGCGAAACCGGGGACTCTACTTCGTGCCAGAGCAATCCAGCATTTCATAGTGATCAGTCAGAGGACAGTAGTCTCACTGACAGTGAACGGACTTTAGTCGGGGACGAAATGTCTCCGCGCAATAACTCTCCCGACATACCCAGTGCTGAAATGGAGCAAGATCTCGAACCTCCAGAAATATCAAAGCCAGAGTGTGACTCGATATTATCGAACTCTGATTCCGGCTGCCGCCTCTACTCCTCTCAGGAGGAGGGGGGCAGCAGGAACATGTCTTCCCCAGAGGAGAATACTATCGAGGACTGTCGGTGCAGAAACGCTGAATCTTCAAATAGTGACGTAAAACACTGCTTCAGAGCTTATCCTCATACAGACTATGAAACTGGTGAAAAAAGTAAGTCTTCAATTTCTGCCATGATAAATGCATTTTTTAATGATACTATTTTAATTTTTCTAGTTGATAATTATTTATGAATTTAATTTAATTTTTTCCATATTTGTTTTTTATTTTCCTTTAGAGGCATTTTTTTGTGAATTTTCACTTTTTTTTTAAAAATTCTAATTCTTTTCCTTAATTAATTTTGAATGATATTTTTCATTTTAAAGTCATTTTACTCGTGAATTAATTTTTTTCTTTAAAAATTAAGTCTAAAATTTGCATTAAATCTTGTTCTTTTAAACTTAAATTCTTCCCTATAACAAATCTTGTTGAGGAATTTAATATTGAATTGTAGGCTGAATCTTTCAATTGAAATATTAAAACACATTTTGTAATACAATGTAGTTCCAATATAAGATTGTGATTAAAAACTGATAAATTCCTGTTTATATTTATGAAGTAGTTACTGACATTTTATTCATAAGTTACATATTTATTTTTTTCATTAAATTTTAAAATATAAATTACAGTTTATAATGTTTCTAATAAAAAAATTGTTATAAAACTTAGAATCAAAAATATGTAAGGAATTTATTTTTCATGTTAAAGTCACTTTTTATGGATTTTAGAGGTTTTCTTTTCTGTTTATTTAGTTTTCTTTAGAGAAATTGATCCTCGAATTAGAATTTTTCTATTCATTCCCTCATTCTATGCAAATCAATTAAAATCCAAATGAAGATCCAAGTCCAATCAGAAATGTACAAAGATTAAATATGCCACTTGCATTTATGAGCCTGTGATCACCTGTCAAAGCATCTCATTTCATATTTGATTGATGGTGCAAGAATTTTTTATCCTCTTAAAATTTAAAAAATATGAGGTGCGTTTTTTGCGTAAAAGTGGCAACCAGGTTATTTTATAACCAAATATTGGTTACGTTATATTAGTTTTTTAGCCAACTCATCCACCCCGTGGCAGAATCGCAGCGACTCGGCGACATTGTCCCAGAATGCTAGAGTTTTTGCAGAAATATTTTTTATTTGGGAAGGGAAAAATGTACTTTTCTTTTCTGCAGATATTGACACATATTTGAATCGTGCATTAAGATTTTTGACACTCTCAATTTACGCCGATAGCATCATAAATCGGTGTAATGTTTGGATTGTATTTTCAACAGTTATTGATATTGATTTTCACATAGTTTTTAAATATCTCAATACATTTCAAACAATATGGGAAATTCGAATTGTGCATTTCAGTATTTACATTTCAAGGCAATAATTCTATCGAATTTTTGGCTGTTATTGCTATTGATTTCTCCATACTTTTTAAATACGATATTTTTTATACCATATTATTTATTACAATAACCTAATTTTGAACCGAAACACGGATTCGAGGAGTTCGATTTGCGTAAATTCGTTGTCGATCTTTTTTTCGGCAATTACTGCTACGAATTTCATGAATTTTAAAATTTTTTTTATTGTGATGTNCTAATTTTGAACCGAAACACGGATTCGAGGAGTTCGATTTGCGTAAATTCGTTGTCGATCTTTTTTTCGGCAATTACTGCTACGAATTTCATGAATTTTAAAAAATTTTTTATTGTGACGTTTATTTACAAAATCCGAAGAAGGAAATAATCTGTGCGTCCGTCCCCCCCCCCCAAAAAAAATGTGAGAATATCATCCATAATATTAGAATAAAAAATATATGTTCAATTAAAAAAATATGTTATAGTTTTTTTTTCTTTGTAAACTGTGCTTTTGTTATTTTAAATCAGTAACTTATAGGTCTGTTATTATTAAAAGTATCTTGCAGAAAGATATTGATTCCTTTGGGGTTTTGTCGCAGATAACTCGAAAAAATTCTGCCGCAGGGCTCATCGAAGTTATTCAAAAAAGAAGATTTGATTGCAGGGGTGCTGCGCCATTTGCGACAAACTGAGACAAAACGGCATAACTGCTCCATTTTGAGACATTCAGCTCAGTTTCTGCCAAAGCTGCGCCATTCTGAGACAAAACGTCCAAAATTTGACAAACTGAATTCAGTTACAAATATTAATCCGCATCGCCGTGAGTCATTGGAGAGCATTTTGCCGTTCACGCCTCCTAAATACGTCATTTAAATGTCAGAAATTCCGTTTGGCAAATCAGCTATTGGAATGCATATAGAATATGCGTTTCGTGTCTACAATTGGATTATGTACAGCAGTGAGTAGCAATCAGTATCGTATGCACGTGATCTTGTAAAAAAAGAGGGTATTCTTCACTTATACTATTGGTTATTATCTTGCTTTTTTTTCTTAAGAAACTGTACAGTGCACATAATTATTCACGGAAGGAA